ACCATTACATTATTTTTCTTAAAGGAAGGGGTCTCTCTAGTATTGTGGTATTCGCTATTCCAACTGGGAAGAGCCTGGTGAGGACTGTGCCGTCTGGAGAACCCGTTGTAAAACCCAGAGCGTCTGATTTTAAAGAGAAAAAAAATCAGGGACAAAGAACAGGGTCGACAGAAAAGGAAAGATCGAGAGAGATCCGTCTCCCATCCGTGTTTAGATCTAACCATCCCATGCCTTAACTGCAACAAACTTTTCAGGGCAAAGATCAGATTCATTAGTCATTTCCACCCCACTCACACACACACCAGTGGTTTGAAGTCAAGGTCATTCCAAGTCAAGATCATCTTCGCATGCGGAGGGCGAACATTCGGACAATTGTGAGCAATCCCTGGGCTGGGTGGTAGAACCTGTTAGGGTCCCAGCTATGGGCAAGTAATGAACACCCAAAATGGGGATCATAAAATTATGTACGTTTAAAAATACATCTTTAGAGTAAAAATTTCCAGCAACAGATTTTAATAGAAAAATCCAGTAATAGATTTTAATAGTAAAACAAAATTCTTGCAATAGATATTAATAAAAAAATTTCCAGCAATATATTTTTATAGAAAGATTTCCAGCCTTAGATTTTAATAGAAAAAAATCCAGTAATAGATTTTAATAGTAAAACAAAATTCAAGCAACAGATATTAATAAAATAAAATTTCCAGCAATAGATTTTAATAGGAAAAAAAACTAGCAATAGATTTTAATAGAAAAAATTGCGGCAAGAGATTTTAAATCGAGAAAAATCTAGAAATAGAGTTTAATAGAGAAAAATCTACCAATAGAGTTTAATAGAAAAAATCCAGCAATAGATTTTAAGAGTAAAAAATCCAGCAATAGATTTTAATAGGAAAATCCAGCAATAGATTTTAATAGGAAAAAGGACAGCAATAGATTTTTATAGGAAAAACATGCAGCAATAGTTTAATAGAGAAAAATCTAGCAATAGAGTTTAATAGAAAAAATCCAACAATAGATTTTAATATAGAAAATCCAGCAATAGATTTTAATAGGAAAAAAGACAGCAATAGATTTTAATAGGAAAAAAGACAGCAATAGATTTTAATAGGAAAAAAAAAAACAGCAATAGATTTTAATAGGAAAAAATGCAGCAATAGATTTTAATAGGAAAAAAGATAGCAATAGATTTTAATAGGAAAAAAAGGAGCAATAGATTTTAATAGGAAAAGGACAGCAATAGATTTTTAGGAAAAAATGCAGCAGGAGATTTTAAAAAAATGCATCAATAGTTTTAATAGGAAAAAGACAGCAATAGATTTTAATAGGAAAAAATGCAGCAATAGATTTTAATAGGAAAAAAAGACAGCAATAGATTTTAATAGGAGAAAAAATGCATCAATAGTTTTTAATAGGAAAAAAGACAGCAATAGATTTTAATAGGAAAAACATGCAGCAATAGTTTAATAGAGAAAAATCTAGCAATAGAGTTTAATAGAAAAAATCCAGCAATAGATTTTAATATAGAAAATCCAGCAATAGATTTTAATAGGAAAAAAGACAGCAATAGATTTTAATAGGAAAAAAGATAGCAATAAAAGGAAAAAATGCAGCAATAGATTTTAATAGGAAAAAAAGGACAGCAATAGATTTTTAGGAAAAAAATAGGATTTTAATAGGAGAAAAAATGCATCAATAGTTTTTAATAGGAAAAAAGACAGCAACAGATTTTAATAGGAAAAAATGCAGCAATAGATTTTAATAGGAAAAAAGACAGCAATAGATTTTAATAGGAGAAAAAATGCATCAATAGTTTTTAATAGGAAAAAAGACAGCAATAGATTTTAATAGAAAAAAACATGCAGCAATAGTTTAATAGAGAAAAATCTAGCAATAGATTTTAATATAGAAAATCCAGCAATAGATTTTAATAGGAAAAAAGACAGCAATAGATTTTAATAGGAAGAAGGACAGCAATAGATTTTAATAGGAAAAAATGCAGCAATAGATTTTAATAGGAAAAGAATGCAGCAATAGATTTTAATAGGAAAAATATAGATTTTAATAGGAAAAAATTTTAATTGGAAAAAATCCAGCAATAGATTTTTAGGAAAAAGGCAGCAATAAAAAGGAAAAAGGACAGCAATAGATTTTAATAGGAAAAAGGACAGCAACAGATTTTAATAGGAAAAAATCCAGCAATAGATTTTAATAGGAAAAAAGACAGCAATAGATTTTAATAGGAAAAAATGCAGCAATAGATTTTAATAGGAAAAAGGACAGCAATAGATTTTAATAGGAAAAAAATGCAGCAATAGATTTTAATAGGAAAAAGGACAGCAATAGATTTTAATAGGAAAAAAATGCAACAATAGATTTTAATAGGAAAAAGGACAGCAATAGATTTTTATAGGAAAAAGGACAGCAATAGATTTTAATAGGAAAAAATGCAGCAATAGATTTTAATAGGAAAAAGGACAGCAATAGATTTTAATAGGAAAAAAATGCAACAATAGATTTTAATAGGAAAAAGGACAGCAATAGATTTTAATAGGAAAAGGGACAGCTATAGATTTTAATAGGAGAAAAAATGCATCAATAGTTTTAATAGGAAAAAAAAGCAACAGATTTTAATAAGGAAAAAAAAAGCGATAGATTTTAATAGGAAAAAAAAATGCAATAGATAGGAAAAGATGCAGCAATTTTAATAGGAAAAAATGCAGCGATAGATTTTAATAGGAAAAAAGACTGCAATAGATTTTAATAGGAAAAAATGTAGCAATAGATTTTAATAGGAAAAAATGCAGAAATAGATTTTAATAGGAAAAGTTTGGGGTTCAGACCTGTGGAGTTGGTATCATCGCTGGTTTCTCATGGTATCACTATTGACCTCCGTTTCGGTATGAATTCCTCGAATAGAGGATGTCATCATCAGTGTCTGCGAGCTTGTTCGAAATGCAGCCTTTCTGGAAGGCTTCAACAATGATGGCAACGTCCAACTTTTGCCAGGCATCGACCATTCCACTTGCAAATATGTCTAAACACTATTTTACTCATTTTGCTTCCTGGTGTGCAGGTGTGATGCATATCTATTTGTTGCAATGTTGTTAATCATTTAACGCCAAACAAGGCAATAAAGCCACTAAGACGTAAAGGTTTTACTGAATATTATAGAATATGAAAAAAACAACAACATTAAGCATAGATAAAAATAAAAGAACAAGAATTAAGAAAACGTAAAATAGCAATTGGCATTGCACTTAAATTTTTGAAGATCAAAGTTAACTGGGAAGCAAGAAGCCGGAAGAGAGTTCCACAACCAAGAGGTGCGATAGAAGAAACCGTTAGCATAGAACTTACGGTTACTTCTAGCCATTTAAACTGTAAAATGATGAGACCTATTGCGCTTAAATTCCAAATGTCTAGGTACCAAATAAGGAAAGTTCATGAGAATAACTGCCATTTTTTTTCGGAAAGACACAGGGAAGTAACGTTACGGCGGCAGGGAATAGATTGAAGCCGGGGTAACATGTCAGGACCAGTAACATTGCAGATTCTTCTTTTAGAATCTCTAAATATATAAGAGGAGCACACGACCAGGTGTGGCAAGAATATCCAAGGCAAGGACGAATGGTAAACTTATAAATGTGTAAAATAGATTCTGGTGAGAAAAATTGAATCAGCATTAGAGGGATATTATGTCTTCGGTAAACAAATGAATTCAAGTTTGGTCCGATTTTGGGAGACTTGGAAAAATGGGATTGAATGTATCAGACGCAGCAGACATTTGGAGACGATTAGACATGATTTTTGACTCCTGAAGAAGAACTAAGCTCATCAGTTGAAACATTGTGGCAATGTTAACTTCTTATTGATTACGATACATAGACGACAGGGAGCAGTGTTAGAAAGGTCATATCGTAGATAGATAGATAGATAGATAGATAGATAGATAGATAGATAGATCAGGAGACGTAGATAGATAGATAGATAGATAGATAGATAGATAGATAGATAGATCTAGTAGGAGACATAGATAGATAGATAGATAGATAGATAGATAGATAGATAGATAATAGATGAACTGAAATAGATCAAATAGATAATTATATATATATATATATATATATATATATATATATAGATAGATAGATAGATAGATAGATAGATAGATTTTAAAAGGCTGAGATACATATATAGATAGATGTTAAAAGGCTGAGATAGATAGATAGATAGATAGATAGATAGATAGATAGATAGATAGATAGATAGATAGATAGATAGATAGATCAGGAGACGTAGATAGATAGATACATAGATAGATAGATAGATAGATAATGAACACACTGAAATAGATCGATAGATAATTATATATATAGATAGATAGATAGATAATGAATGAACAGACTGACATAGATAGATAGATAGATAGATAGATAGATAGATAGATAGATAGATATAGCGAGAGATAGAAAAAGCGATCACGATAGATAGATAGATAGATAATGAATGAACAGATTCACATAGATAGATAGATAGATAGATAGATAGATAGATATGAACAAATGCAGTGAATCTCATTCCATTGTCACCAGCGATTAACAATTATTGACTCCGGATGGAAACATTTTGAATTCTCAGATTGCTCAATTATTCTCTTTCCAACATTCTATCGCACCACATCTATATATCCCCCTCCCCCTCTATCTCATCTTTATAAAACCCTTTCTCTTTATTTCTCTCCCACTATCCTCTCTCTATCCACTCTCTCTCAATCTCTCTCTAACCATTATCTAACCTACCCTTCCTCTCATATATATCCTCTCGCTCTCTTTCTCTCTCTCTCTATCCTATCTCTCTATCCCCTGTCACTTTCTATGTATCATCCTCTCTCTACATATATTCCGCGCAATCTACCATCTCTCCCTTAATACCCTCTATCTCTACCGTCTCATCTGTATCTACTCTCTATCCAATCTCTCTATCTAAATACATTCTCTCTCCACACCTTTTCTCTCTCTCTCCCGTCCCCCTCTCTCTCTCTCTCTGTCTTTCCACACTTAACCTATTGGCTTTTTTAAAGAAATAATATATTTTTTATCAAATCAATAGAAATCATTTCAATTCAGGATTCCGCCATTTTTCTTAATGGCCAATTACGTAGCGTCCTCGTCACACATCATCGCACGCATGCGCATTACACCTCATTCTGTCGTCTGTTCAAAGTGATATTAGTCCGATTAGAAAAATATCTGCTTTCTGTGTGTGTCTTTATATATATATATATATATATATATATATATATATATATATATTATTACTATTTCTTATATATATATTACTATTTCTTAAATAGCGCTCTTCTCTAAATCTTTCATTATTATTTGAAATATCTGAGAAGCTTCTTGACAGAGGACGGTAAGTGCGACACTAAGATCCGTAGACGTATTGGAATGGCCAAGAACACATTCCAAAAGCTGGGCAGAGTATTGCGAGACAGGAGGATTTCTTTGGTAACAAAGAAATGAATACTCAGCTGTTACGTTACAACTGTCCTTCCTTACGGCAGCAAATGTTGGACGATTTCGAAAATGAGACTCGAGGTGACAGAGATGTGGCTCTACAGAAGGATGCTAAGGATATCATGGACCGAGCGTGTGAGATCTTTGGTTGCACACAAGGAGGAAGCTTATACTTAACACCAGAAAGAAGCAGCTGAAGTTTCTGAGACATGAGGAAGGAGGGCCTGGAGAATCTGATACTCACGGGTCGAGGGAAAGAGAGATGGAAAAACAACGCGTGACATACCTGGCGGGCTTAAGCAAGTTGATGACAGAACGTGGAAGCAGATGAAAGGAACTTGTTGAGAGCTGCAAGGGATAGAAGGAGGTGGAGAGCCATGATCGCCTACGTCCTGAAAGGACATAGCACATAAAAAGTAGAAAGAAAGATTATTCAAATAAACATGTCTTGTAAAGGAAGAGAATAATAAATTAGTGGCCGTGTTCTGGTGTTTCAGCTCCAGGGTCTTTCCCACAGCCGTAAGCTTGCCTCTCTGTACCTTTTTCTACAATGATTTTCATTAATGTTTGGAGGATCCCCCAAGGCTCCATCCTTGGACCTAGTATATTTTGAATTTTCATTAATGAACTCCACGATTACATCAGCTCTCAACTTGGTATCTTCGCTGATGACAACCATTTAATCATGTCTCAATAGTAAAGCTGATCAGTCCGAGATGGTCAAAATGGCGGCCGATATTCAAAACAACCCCAAGATGGCGTTAAAAAAAATGGTTTGCTGGTTTTAATTCCTCCAAAACTAAACTTTATTAATTACTGGCAGTAGAGCCCGGCGTTGCCCGCGAATGTAACAGTAAGTGATAGATCAAGTATCGACCATCATAAAGACTGAAAAATAAAATTGACAAAGATTATTGTTTAAGGTTGACGGACACGCATGTCTTAATTAGTTTTTTTTTGTTTTTTTTACGAATTGGTCAAACCCAAATTCAAACAAAAACATTGTTTTCAATCTTTATGAGTCTATCGATTGAATAGAATTTTATTATAAACACTTGTCTTGTAAATGGAATTTTTTAAAGCATTCTGGATGTAAAAATAAAGAAAAAAGTGTGCAAGACAATAAGAAACACTACCTACCAAAAAAAAGTGAAGTTTTGTTGAAATCGGTTGAAGAATGTAGGAAATCCGATCCCATATATAAACGAACACACACACAAACAACCTGGGTTTTATAATAAGTATAACTCGATATGAGTTATCCCCTTTCATTCTCGCGATGCCTCTTAATCGTATTTTCAAACTGATTTCGTTTTCCAATTTTCGTCGCTGTCTGAACCATCACAAGGTAATTTTACGTAGTCCTGTGATGTTTTGTTGAAATCGGTTGAAAAATGTAGGAAATCCGATCCAATATATAAACGAACACACACACACACACACAACCTGGGTTTTATAATAAGTATGAACTGAGAGACATTCTGTCCTCCATCAGTATGTGTGTGTGTGTGTGTGTGTGATGCGGCATTCACCCTGGGCGGATTGAGCCGGCTTCTTCCTGTTATGAGAAGAAGATTCTTGGGATAAATTACAGAAGTAGGGTACCCAGGCCTACTCGGATAACGTTCTTGCTTGCCGTGGGATTCCCACAGACGCAGAGACAGGAACGACCAGAAGCCGCCGGTTGCCGATGCAGACGCTCCTTGCATTTTCACCAGAGCCCTTGTTAGCCGGCGTGTGTGTCAGACCTGTCCGCCTTGGGTGGCCCTACCAGGAACGAAGTTCCGGACGGCATAGCTCTGATACTACCGTTTACACCCCCCCACCGACTGTGAGGTAAAAGTTGGACTTTGGGGGCTTACAGTACCAGGTGTTCCCAAGCGGTCTCCCATCTAAGTACTGACCTGGCTCTACGATGCTTAACTTCGGTGATCGAACGAGAACCGGTGTTTTCAGCGTGATTTGACCGTAAGTATGGCTGATGCTAACCTCCAAAAAATGGCTTGTGCTTTATCTGGCTAACATTCTGTTGTGGCCTTGTTAGGCCCAGAAATAAAGACACAAAGAGAGGAATCGAGTTAAACAAATATATTAACAGAAGCAGTAATACAAACATATACAAACGAGAGTGTTACAGCAAGAATGTTCGGCGCTATTGTCAGAGCTGACTGCTGGAAAGTTCACCTCCCAAAAGGCAGTACCTGCTCCTATTTATAGCTGGGAGCGTCCATGCGTGCGTGGGTAAATTAGCATAACGCATTCTCAGCTGACACGAAGTGGAAAGGCTATATTAAATCAATTGCTAGATCAGCCGCTAAGAAAGCTGGTTCACTGTGTCGTGCGAGACAACCTTTCTCTATCTTACATATCTTTAAGTCTACTATTCGTCCATGCTTTGCATATTGCTGCCATGTATGGTCTAGTGTTACTTGAGCACTTTCCAAAGAATCAGCAATATTATCGGTCCTGATCTGGTGGCTCGGTTTCAGTCACTTTCCCACTTTCTCTGTGTCTTTTCTATAAACATTTTCATCATAATTTTTCGGATGAGGTCTTACCTATGGCACCTGTACTTTTTGAATTTAAACGCTGTACTGATGTCGAGATCTCATCAAGTGACAGTTGAGCTGGTTAGATACAACCGTAAGTTCTATGCTAAATGTTTCTCCTTTCGCACTTCTCGCTTGTGAAACTCTCTTCCGGGTCCATACTTTCCAGCCATCTTTAATCTGCAAAAATTTAAATTTAATATCGATCGTTATCTAATCTCCTCCTGATTACTCATTTCTCTTCCCGCTCATTATTAATGTTTCTGTTCCTAATTCTTCTACGCTCAGTAACCCGTGAGTCAGTTGTTCACTTTTGAACAGACTGCTCGGTTTGAACTCTCTTCCTACGGGCGGGAGGAACCCGAAGGAGGCTACGCCGAAGGGCGGAATCTCCTTCGGGGAGGTAAAACCGGCCCTGAACCCGTTTTATACGGGTTCAAATGGAAACTATTACAGCCGAGCCTAATGGCTCGGGAATGCCCACGTTAAAAAAGCCTTGTGCCACATGACACCCTCGTGGGGGGGTGACTCAATATCATAACCCTTTGTATTAGGTTGGTGCAAAATAATGACGTAATAATGTCGTTTTGGGACGTATTTTTAACGTCAAAAAACGACATTATTACGTCATTATTTTTGCACCAACCTAATATCTTAATAGCGTTCCTGCCTTGCATATATGTATGTATCTAGAGTTATAGGAATTTCGTTTTTCAAAACACAGTCAGCACATAATGGCCGTGTTTATAGTTGATGTTAATGAGTGTTGCGTTTTATATTTTAGTATTAGTACTTCCATAATTTTTAGTATTTTTTAAGATGTGGGTGAGGCTATTATACTTGTATTTTCTACATTTTGGTTACGGATGGAGTTTGGTAGTTCCCGAGAGTGTTCAAATGATTCCTAATTCAGGTAGAACACAAGAAAAATAAAATTAAAAACTTTAATCGCAGCACCATGTTAGTCGTCTTTAATGAAAAGCATATAAATATATACTGTATATAATCGCGTATCATGCAACTTTTCAAGACGTAATTTTGAAGCTAATTTTAAAAGGGTCACATCATACATGAGATATAAAATTAGCATATTTACTGCTGGCCCTGGCTATACCATTGACCTAACTATATATCCATTTACTTTAGTCAAAAAATACAGCTGGATTTAAAATAGACATCGCCTGTTACACGAGTATATACGGTATGTTTCCAATTATAATAATATGTAGTAATTCTAGGGGGATCAGTTTATTACTTCATAACAATAGAAAACCGGTCCCCCACTTTAGGTCCAATAGAAACTGATTGTTTCCAAGTATTATGTATTAATTCATAGGGGGATCAGTTTATTACTTCATAACAAAAGAAAACCGCCCCCCACTTTAGGTCATACATGAGATATAAAATTAGTATATGTACTGCTGGCCATAGCTACGCCATTGAGCAAACTACATATCCATTTACTTGAGTCAAAAAGTACAGCTGGATTTAAAGTAGACATCGCCCGTTACACGAGTATATACGGCATGTTTCCAATTATAATATGTAATTATTATTGAGGGTCAGTTTAGTACTTAGTAACAATATAAAACTGTTTCCCCACTTTATGTCCAATAGAAACTAATTGTTTCCCATTATTATGTAGTAATTACTGGGGGATCAGTTTATTACTTCATAACAATAGAAAACCGGTCCCCCATTTTAGGTTCAATAGAAACTAATTGTTTCCAATTATTATGTAATAATTCTTGGGGGATCAGTTTATTACTTCATAACAATAGAAAACCGGTCCCCCACTTTATGTACAATAGAAACTTTACCGTGTATATTCGCGTACCATGCAATTTTTGAAGACCTAATTTCGAAGCTAATTTTAAGAGGGTCACATCAAACACGAGATATAAAATTAGCGTATATACTGCTGACCCTGGCTACGTCAGTGACCAAACTATATATCCATTTACTGTAGTCAAATTAGCTTCAAAATTCGGTCTTTAAATATCGCATGATACGCGAGTATATACGGCATGTATAGTGGAATTTTTCAAATTATAGTTAATTCTTTTACTTTCATTTTGCACATCCCAAAGGCATGAACCCTGGAAAATTAAAACCCGCTTGAAACTTTTCGTTCCCGCGGTTTACTGTTTGCCGCGCTGAAGAATTGCGTATGTTTAATGGAATCATTAAAATCTTTATTGTTTTTTATTCATTTTCCTTGATTAAAACCGTAGAAAAAGAAAACGACAAAAAAGAAAGCGATTAAGATCGAAAGATTTCTTCGTTGATTAAATGTCAATTAAAGATGTTTGTGCGTCAGGTGCGCGGAGCTGGAAACAGCGATGGTCTTTTTTTTGGGTGTAGGATCAGCCGTGACAGTGCATTCAGATTTCTGCAGTGTTAATTGAAACGGCCTTCGCGGCCATCTTTTCTTTTCTGGCAGCGTTCATTATCAAAGATACTTTGCAGCTGAATAATAATAATAATAATAATAATAATAATAAGAAGAAGAAGAAGAAGAAGAAGAAGAAGAAGAAGAAGAAAGTAACGGCAACAAAAGAAAGAGAAGTCGTAAAGAATAAAAAGAAGAATTTTTAGAGATGAATTAATGATTTGATCGTGTAAGAATAGATAGATAGATAGATAGATAGATAGATAGATAGATAGATGGTAAAAGTCTGAAATAGATAGATAGATAGATAGATAGATTTTAAAAGTCTGAGATAAATATATAGATAGATAGATAGATAGATAGATAGATAGATAGATAGATAGATAGATTTTAAAAGGCTGAGATAAATATATAGATAGATGTTAAAAGGCTGAGATAGATAGATAGATAGATAGATAGATAGATAGATAGATAGATAGATTTTAAAGGCTGAGATAGATAGATAGATAGATTTTAAAAAGATATTAAAAGAGATAGATAGATAGTAAATTTATCGATACCCAAGACTCGGAGATAGTTTTTACCCAAGGATATGAGATAGATAGATAGATAGATAGATAGATAGATAGATAGATAGATAGATAGATAGATAGATAAAAGGCTGCGATAGACAGTTGGAGGAAACATTTATCGTTTACCCAAGACTCGGATATAGTTAAATCATTTTCCAGGAAAATACCCAGGACGAGATATGAAAGACATGGATGGGGTTTTTCTTAAACTTTTTTTTTTTTGAAGTATTGAAAAATGTCAACATCTTGATTACGCCATTATTTTCACTTCGAGTGACATGTGCTATTTATTTAGGAAGGAAGGAAGGAAGGAAGGAAGGAAGGAAGGAAGGAGGATCGAATGAAGGAAGGAGGGAAGGAAGGAAGGAAGGAAGGAAGGAGGATCGAAGGAAGGAAGGAGGAGCAAGGGAAGGAAGGAAGGAAGGAAGGAAGGAAAGGAAGGAAGGGGAAGGAAATGAACAAAGAGAAATAAAAGAAGTAAGGAGGGGAAGGAAGGAAGGAAGGAAAGGAAGGAAGGAACAAAGAAGGAAGGAAGGAAAATAAAAGAAAGAAAGAAAGAAAAAGAAAGAAAGAAAGGAGAGGAAGGGAAGGGAAGGAAGGAAGGAACGGACGAAGGAAGGAACGAAGGAAGGAAGGAAGGAAATGAGAGCATGCGGATGGGGATGAAAGAAAGAAAGAAAGAAAGAAAGAGGAAGGAAGGAAGGAAGGAAGGAAGGAAGGAAGGAAGGAAGGAAGGAAGGAAATGAGAGCATGCGGAGGGGATGGAAAGAAAGAAAGAAAGAAAGAAAGAAAGAAAGAAAGAAAGAAAAAGAAAGAAGGAACGAAGGAAGGAAGGAACGAACGAACGAAGGAAGGAAGGAAGGAAAATGAGCATGCGGAGGGGAAAGAAAGAAAGAAAGAAAAGAAAGGAAAGGGAAGGAAGGAAGGAAGGAAGGAAAGGAAGGAGGCGAATGAAGGAAGGAAGGGGATGAAGGAAAGGAAAGGAAAGAAAAGAAGGAAGGAAGGAAGGAAGGAAGGAAATGAGAGTGCGGAGGGGAAAGGATGGGAGGAAAGGAACGAAAGGAAGGAATAAGAGAAGGAAGGAAGGAAGGAAGGAAGGAAGGAAGGAAGGAAGGAAGGAAGGAAATGAGAGAATGCGGAGGGATGGAAAGAAAGAAAGAAAGAAAGAAAGAAAGAAAGAAAGAAAGAAAGAAAGAAAGAAGAGGAAGGAAGGAAGGAACGAAGGAAGGAAGGAACGAACGAACGAAGGAAGGAACGAAGGAAGGAAGGAAGGAAATGAGAGCATGCGGAAGGATAGAAAGAAAAGAAAAAGAAAGAAGGAAGGAAAAGAAAGAAAAGAAAGAAAGAAGGAAGGAAAGAAGGAAATGAGAGCATGCGGAGGGATGGAAAAGAAAGAAAGAAAAAAGAAAGAAAGAAGAAAGAAAAGAAAAGAAAGAAAAGGAACGAAGAAGGAAGGAAGGAAGGAAGGAAGGAAATGAGAGCACGGAGGGGATAGAAAGAAAGAAAGAAAGAAAGAAAGAAAGAAAGAAAGAAAGAAAAGAAAAGGAAAGAAAGGAAGGAAGGAAGGAAGGAAGGAGCATGGAAGGGAAAAGAAAGAAAGAAAGGAAGAAAAGGAAGAAAAGGAAGGAAGAAGGAAATGAGGATGCGGAATGGAAAAAAGAAAGAAAGAAAGAAAGAAAGAAAGAAAGAAAGAAAGAAAGAAAGAAAGAAAGAAAAGAAGAGGAAGGAAGGAAAATGGAGCATGCGGAGGGAAAGGAAGAAAGAAAGGAAAGGAAGGAAGGAAGGAAGGAAGGAAGGAACAAAGAAGGAAAAATAAAAAGGAAGGAAGAAGGAAGGAAGGAAGGAACAAAAGAAGAAATAAAAAGAAGGAAGGAAGGAAGGAAGGAAGGTAGGGAGGGAGGGAGTATTAAGTAAGGGATTATGATAGATATTGATCGATATAAATGAAGATTCCTAAACAGTCTAAAATAGATGTTAAGGTTTTCTTTTTATAATCACTGACTTCGATCTAGTTTGCCTGATAGTTATCTTTATACTGGATAAAGGCGTTGGTTAGATCCCGTGACAGGACCCGAAGAGTTTTGAGTTCAATACCTGGTTGAGGCATTGGAGAACTTGGAGAGGTGAATTAACAGGAGATAACTGACAACTAACATCGATTAAAACATGGCACATGGAACTAGAAAAGTCTACTACAGCGAGCGAAATAAATGTTCAGTTTGGCATTCCAACCACCTGAAGAAGGCCGGAGCGTACAACGGCCGAAACGTTGTAATAAATATGGCGACAAAGATGACGACAATAGTCCGAATAATGTAAATAGTGTACATAATACCTCATCTCAGAAATATAGGCAGTTACTGAAAGGCCGAAACGTTGTGATAAATATGGCGACAAAGATGAGGACAATAGTCTGAATAATGTAAATAATGTACATAATACCTCATCTCAGAAATATAGACAGATACTGAAAGGCCGAAACTTTGTAATAAATATGGTGACAAAGATGAGGACAATAGTCCGAATAATGTAAATAATGTACATAACACCTCATCTCAGAAATATAGACAGATACTGAAAGGCCGAAACGTTGTAATAAATATGGCGACAGAGATGAGGACAATAGTCCGAATAATGTAAATAATGTACATAATACCTCATCTCAGAAATATAGACAGATACTGAAAGGCCGAAACGTTGTAATAAATATGGCGACAGAGATGAGGACAATAGTCCGAATAATGTAAATAATGTACATAATACCTCATCTCAGAAATATAGACAAAGAAAGAAAGAATGAAAAGAAACAAAAAAAATAAGAGAAAGAAAGAAACAACAAGAAAAAGAGAATGAAGGGAAGAAAAAAGAAATAATGAAAGAAAAAAGGAAAAAAGAAAGGAAAGAGAATTAATGAAAGAAAAAATGAAAAAGAAAGATAAAAGGAAATAGAGAAAAAGAAGTTAAAAAACTAAATAAAGGAGAAAAGAAAGAAAACGAAAGAATGAGAAAGAGAAATGAAAGAAAAGGGAAAGAAAGAAAGAACAAACGAAAGAAAGAAAGAAAGAAAGAAAGAAAGAAAGAAAGAAAAATGTCTCTGCTGTTGGATGTAGTTTATCGTCATACCCGGGCACTCCTAACAGGTGCTACCACCCCGGTCCACGCTACTCAAAACCTCCAGTTTCCCAATCAGAGTCATTGCTGCCGGATGTAGTTCATCGTTATACCCAGGATCAAGATCGTATGTATGTTTGTTAGCAAGATAAAAATTCCAAGCTGCCTGCTACAAATTGGAGATGTCCAAATGAAACAAGTACCAGGTTTAATCGAAAAGTATCCCAACTGTTGCTATGGTAACGGAACTAGAGTGCACAGAATAAAGCCGCTTGGTAAAGATTTAACATGAACTCTGTCGCTCATGCACAATACGTTATCGCGTTCTCGCTCACTTCCGGTGTTTGTATCAGCGCTCGGAAGGAGCGTGTGTAGAGTGTGGTTGTCTCTCCGCGCAGCTGCGTTTTCATCGGTGTTTTATGGCAGAAAAATTCGAGGACTGGGTCTGGGTTTCGGAGTCATAGCCATAGAGACACTATGCACCACCTGTTAGCACCGGTTTTAAAAAAAAAGGGGGAAAGACCGAAATCTCTTCGAGACTAAAGAGAACGCCTGGTCAGTCAGGAAACTACTTTATCGTATTGCTGCCTTTGCGGTATTCTATTCGATGGAAAAAAAAATAGAATTGCATATATCCGGTGGGTGGAAACACCACCATACCAATGCACCTGCCCATTGAGCGCAGTTTGTGTAGCAGTTTTTGGTCAATGACAACATTCCCCAGGTCCGACAACCACCACCTTTTCTAGACTGATAGTTGAATATACTGAGATAGATAGATAGATAGATAGATAGATAGATAGATATATAGTTAGATAGATACGAAAGACTAAGATAGATAGATAGATAGATAGATAGATAGATAGATAGATAGATAGATAGATAGATAGATATGAACAGACTGAGATAGATAGATAGATGTGTAGGCTGAGGTAGACTTATAGATGGACATACTGAGATAGATATTGGTTTGGTTTGTTTTGTTTTACGGCATATCAACCTCAATGGGTTATTTAATGTCGACAATTATTTATTTTTTCCTGGTATTATTTTGTAATTATTGCTGGTAATAATTTTATTTATTACAAAGTATTTCTGGTATGAAAACCTATTTTTACACAAGTTTAGGTGTTAACTATTTTGCCCATAGCTGGGACCCTAACAGGTGCTACTACCCGAGGTCGGGATGGACCTGGGAACACCAGCAATTAATAGGTGGTTCCACGCTCATCAAAACCTCCTGATCAGAGGCCTTGCTGTTGGACGTAGTTTATCGTCTTACCCAGGACTCGGATTTAGTTTATCGTCATACCCAGGACGAGATATGAAAAGACATAGATAGATAGATAGATAGATAGATAGATAGATAGATAATGTGTAGACTGAGGTAGATTTATAGATGAACATACTGAGATAGATAGATAGATAGATAGATAATGAGGTAGATTGATAGATGTGCTGACTGAGATAGATCTGAAAAGATACGGATAGATAGATAGATAGATAGATAGATAGATAGATAGATAGATAGTGTGTACACTGAAGTAGATTCATAGATGAACATACTGAAATAGATTATATTATTGTAAGTTACAATAATTGTGGCACAAGGTCTAAAAAGTGGGGGTTGGCGTTGAGGTTGGTCATCCTTACCTATCCTATACTTAGCTAACCTGATTCACGGCCCATTCATCCAATACAAATAACCCATTCACCGAAAGAATTCACCCTTCACCTTTTACTCCTACATATACCACTGAGATAGATAGATAGATAGATAGATAGATAGATAGATAGATAGATAGATAGATAGATAGATAATGTGCACTGTGGTAGATTTATAGATGAACATAATGAGATAGATAGTAGATAGATATGAATAGACAGAATGCCGAATTGATATGCTTTTGTTATGGAGTGATTTCACAGTGGAGGCTTGTATTTGTACTAAGTCGGTCATAAAATAGGTTCGACGTACAAAACGTTACGAACTTCATATCATAGGTATGACGCAGAGTAATCTAGTTGTGGTCGCTGATACTTTAGTATTCGACTAACGGTCGTCCGACATCGGCTGACTGACTGACCGACGATATTCAGTCACCCCCCCACTCCCCGCCACGAGGGCGTCATGTGGCACAAGGCCTTTTTAACGTGGGATCTCCGAGCCCGTGGGCTCGGCCAAAAATATGCCCATTGAACCCGTATAAACGGGTTCAGGGTCGGTTTACCTCCCCGAAAGAGAATCCGCCCTTCGGCGTAGCCTCCTTCGTGTTCCTCCCCGCCCGAAGGCAGAGAGTTCAACCGATCAGTCAGTCGACTGACTGATCGACCCACTGAGCGACTGCTACTATTATAGGTGGGAGAGTCTATTAACTATAGAATAGGTGAGTTCCATTATAACAGCTTTATATTTTTATCTTCTTTATAGCGCCAATCCCGATATGGCAAGTGCTTTAACAGAAGATGGAAAATACGTCGGCGTAATTCGCACACGAACTGTAATAACAAAAGATGCCTTCAAAAACTAAACACACAAAAAAAGTGCTCTTGTCTGACAATGAATGCTGAAAATCCCTCCTCACAAATGAAGAGAGACTCGGAATCAGTTGAAATGAAAAGGAAGCTGAGAAAAGCCCTGGATGGAGGAAGTCTGAAGGCAAATGGAAACAAAAAATGGGGGGCGAATCTTCAGAATCATATGCAAACGGTTGAAATATCTTGGAAGCATTATGAAGCAGGAAGGTTTGGGAAAAACTAACACTCGTACAACCTTGTGCAAATTAATTATACAGGAAGATGTGGAGGGCCTTGATCACCTACACCCTTGCGGAAATTGATTGAAACAAAACGAATAATTCCGTTATTTACTTTTTTTTCCCAATTAAACATGACACAATGCATATGTTAGTACTTCGTATATCCATTCCATGAAGTCGTTCCTTGCAGATTGACCACAGATTCTCAATTGCTTTTACATCAGGAGATTTTCCGGGCTCACTGGTAAGGCTTGCCAGTGTGTTCGAGCGGCGTTACAATTTTCGTACGCTTACTTGTTGTAACGTGCATCGCAGACAATGGCCATAGGATAACTAATCGACAGTCTAGACAATAGTGTCTGGGCGTGATGAAAATAATATTTTTCAAGGCCAAACAAATTTCATCATAAACTCCGAAAATAGATTCATATTACTGTGCACCACTGCAAATGACCTAATATGAGGAAAATATTGAAATCGATTACACCCTGTCAATTCAGTAGGCCTATAACTGACCGTATGGCGAAAGAAAGGAAACTAAAGCAGTTGTTTCAATTAATTTACACAAGGGCATACCTATTATTATTATTATTATTATTTTGTTTCCTTTGATTTCTAATGTGTATTCATTTCTTTACGGGTCCCAACCAGAGACCTAAGCACCATGGCATTTTCCACTGATCATTGGTTTGTAAGGTTGGAGCTGTATTTGTGATAGATAGATAGATAGATAGATAGATAGATAGATATGAAAAGGACAGATAGATAGAGAGAGAAAGACAGGGGGAGAGATACGAACATAGATAGATACGAACAGACTGAGATAGATAGATAGATAGATAGATAGATAGATAGATAGATAGATAGATAGATATGAAAAGGACAGATAGATAGATAGATAGATAGATAGATAGATAGATAGATAGATAGATTTGTTGTATTTCTTTAAGGCAGAGGCTACCAGGAATCCTTTCAACAAGTCTATCAAAACCTTTTCCAGTCAAAATGAAGTTGCATATTTTCCAGTGCAGATATTGGCCCACTCTGTCATGACGGGTTTTATATTCAAGGGGTGCCAATATCGTGCAACCTCATACAAGATGATCAATCGTTTCTGAATATTTATAACAGAATCTGCATTTTGGGCTGACACAATATTTTAGTATATGTGCTTGATAATTCCTAGTTAGCAAGCATTGGTCATGCGCAGCAAGGATAAAACCTTCAGTTTCCGCTTTCAACCCTGCACTACGTAGCCACTGATGGGTACGGGTTTTGTCTACGTCAGCTTGTTTGGTACGGGCAAAGTATTAGCCATGAAGCGGTTTATCTTGCCATTGTTTCTGTATCTGGTCGGTTGCATTTGTCTTTGCTTTCTTTTTTAAGTATTTTGCACTACTTTTGTTTGTGGTCTTTAATAACAATGTCTGGGCGGTTGTCTTTGATTGTTCTGTCAGTGTGTATTGTGTAGTCCCATAGAATTGTAACAGATCCTATCTCCGTAACTGTGTCTGGGTGGTGTTCATACCAGTTTCTTTTTCTTTTTCTTTTTCCCCTAAGATCACAGATATTTTACATAGATAAAATCCCATACATTTATTACAGACTAGCAGTAGAGTTTGTTGATTTTAACTCCTCCAAAACTAAACTTTATTAATTACTAGCCCGAGGATGTAACAGTAAGAGATAGATCAAGTATCGACCATCACAAAGACTGAAAAATAAAATTGACAAAGATTATTGTTTAAGGTTGACGGACACGCATGTCTTAATTAATTTTTTGTTTTGTTTTTTTGGGGGTTTTTTTTTTTACGAATTGGTCAAACCCAAACTCAAACAAAAACATTGTTTTCAATCGTTATGAATCTACCGATTGAATAGAATTTTATTATAAACAATTGTCTTGAAAATGGAATTTTTAAAGCATTCTGAATGTAAAAATAAAGAAAAAAGTGTGCAAGACAATAAGAAACACTACCTGCCAAAAAAAAGTGATGTTTTTTTTTAAATCGGTTGAAAAATGTAGGAAGTCCGATCCAATATATAAATGAACACACACACACAAACAACCTGGGTTTTATAATAAGTATAACTCGATATGAGTTGTCCCCCTTTCATTCTCGTGATGCCTCTTAATCGTGTTTTCAAATTGATTTCGTGCAAAAACAATTGTGTTTTTCCAATTTTTGGCACTGTCAGAACCACCGCAAGGTAATTTGATGTAGTCCGGTGAAGTTTTGTTGAAATCGGTTGAAAAATGTAAGAAATCCGATCCAATATATAAACGAACAGACACACACACACAACCTGGGTTTTATAATAAGTATGATTCTAAGTTTTTAACCTGGCCTGGGTGACGTTCGTATCAATTTCTTGCTGTTACCTTTCCGTAAAAGTTGAATATTTTCTAATGCGGATACTGGACCATCCTGACATGCCAAGTTTTATATTCAGGGGGTTCTAACACCGTGCAGTCTTTTACAAGATGGTCAATTGTTTGTGGATATTTATCACAGAATCTGCATTTTGGGCTAGCACAATTTTTCCTCAAGAAGGGCGGAGCGTACAACGGCCGAAACAATGTGTAACACTGTTAAAATCTATGTTAATATCTTCACAGTGTTTTGTGTCCTCAAGGACACATGGCACAGTGGATAAAGGCGTTAGATCCAGTGACTGGACCCAGAGAGTGTGAGTTCAATACCTGGTTAAGGCGGTGGAGAACTTTGAGAGAAAAATTAATAGCACAGGAGATAACTGACATCCATTAGACATGGCACGTGGAACTAGAACAGTCTGCCCCAGTGAGCGAAATAAAGGCTTCAGTTCGACATTCCAACCACCTGAAGAAGGCCGGAGCCTACAACGGCCGAAACGTTGAGATAAATATGGCAACAAAGATGAGGACAATAGTCCGAAAAATGTAAATAGTGTAGGTACCTCTACGAAATCGCTAATAAAAAGCATAGCTTGATGAAAAGACACCAACCTTGCCGAAGACAAAATTTCACCGTCTAAATACTTATGTTATTATTAAGAGGAAAGACCAAAGTTTTTTTTAATTATTTTTAAAAATTTCTTTCCTTTTTAGTACATTCTAAATTTTGATGTTCTTTTTTTTTTTTTGGTATGACACACATTAATTTGGAAAATCTTGTAAAAATAAAAATAATTGTCGGATGTTAATGAAACTTTCAGGAACTATTCACAGATGATCGAAATTATTATAAATATGTTTTTTTTTTATTAAAGTCATGGCGGAAATATTTTCTTTTATATTTATTACCCCCCCTCGCCAACTAATTTTATGAAAACTCTAGAAATTTGATCGCATTGGGTTTAGTGATTACAATAGTCAAAAGCACAAGGCTTTGAGGAATGCAAATCTTTTTTTTTTTTTTTAATTGGAAAACCTGAAAATCAGCTCTGAATTGTAACATACAAAACTCAATAAAACAATGATATTATTTAATTTCAAATGCTTTTATTTGCTTTTAGTTGTTTTTATGAATATGGACAATATTTTCTGAAAGCAAAAACATTTTTCGATGAAAAATGAATTTTTAATACAATTATTTGTTATTTCGTAATTATAATAGATTTTTAAGTTGTTAAAATATTATAAAATTAGTTAAAAGCCGCATCGGGTTTCCTAAGTCTCCTTATGAGATAATCTTTTTTTCAGCGCGTTGTAAATTGTATCATTTTGACTAATCAGAAGTTCCGCAGTAATTAAGAAATGTAATTTTTTGTTTATAATCGGGCTGTAATTATAAAGTACGGAAGACCAACCAGAATACAATTAAGTTGCGTTATTTGTGTTAAGCATTGTTCTCCGTTGTTAAGGCCTTTACTTTTGTGAAACACGTGTGGAGAAGTTAATTTGATTTTTCAATTTCAGCTGACAAGGGTACCTACAAGTATCAGTATCATCTTAGGAAATTTATATGATCTTATTTTTATATTAATCTCAATTATGACATTTTTCCATAAATGAAATCTCAAAATTAATAATAAAATGAATGGAAATACAAATAACACAGTAAAATGTAATAAATGTACATAAAATTATAGTATTTTATGTACCTATAAATTAATTAGATACCTTTCTTATGAAATATGAAATTTAATCTCACTCTTAGCAGTCTTATTTTAATTTCTTCATAATATATTTTCCAAAAAGCATCGTAAAGGTGAAAGCTAAGTACAAAAAAAAATTGAGCGCTGAAAGTTTTTCTTAATAATAACGAGGTAAATAATTTGTTCACTTAAATGTAAATTATTTCACTTTTCTCCTTCCGTAGAACAAATTATCCTCACGGAATCCGTCAATATGTCAGTCATCACCTGAAGTGACGCGAAATTTTATGACCTGCTTTGTTTTATTTTCAAATTACATCTTTTCGGTGCAAAGCTAAGTTAAGCTTAGTTCAAAATATTTTAGATAAACATTATAATTTCTGATTTTCTTAAATTAAATTTTGGAAAAAAGATAATTAATTTTTAAAATAATTTCAAAGTGAGATTTCCAGTTTTTTTATAAAATGGAAAAAAAATGGTCAATTTTGCTGACTAAAAAAAAGCAAGATTTTTAACGAAAATTTCAGACGTGCTAGGAACGATTAAAAAATGTAAATATACCCCAAAAATACTTTGATCTTTCCTCTTAATAATAACATAAACATTTAGACGATAAAAATTTGTTTTCGTCAAGTTTGGCGTCTTTTTCATCATGCTATGGTCTTTTTCATCATGCTATACTCTTTTTTTAGCGATCTCTTGGAGGAACCTAACATAATACCTCATCTCAGAAATATAGACACATACTGAGCAAGTATTGTTCCTATGCGTCAGATTTAGCTTTTAACCCTGCACTATGTAACCACTCATGGGTACGGGGTTTGTCTACATCAGCTTGTTTGCTACAAGCAGAGTATTGACCATGAAGAGGTTTACCTTACCATCTTTTCCGTATTTGCTACATTGCAATTGCTTTTGCTTCCGTTTTTAAGTTCTTTGCCGATGCAGTAGGTGTGTTTATTTGTAATTTTTCATCCAACTGAAATTCCCTTTTGAATTTGTTAGCTTCCTTTATCGCTAAATAAAGTTCCTTATTTCTTTCATGTTCTTTGACACAGATAATCATCTAGTCTTCTGTATTTTCTAGATATCCGTGAAGACTATTTGTTGAGGGTTTTTTAAGACATTTCTAGTTGAAGTAATCCCTTCCTCCTTCGAATCTAGGCAGATACAGACGGTAAACATCTTCTTTAGGATAATGCATGCTGTGCCTTTCTTGTTTTGATATCCATTGCTTAATGACAGCTATGGTCCAATTAAGGATGTTGAAACTGCATTGCACTACAAGGGTATCCAAAGTGTTTATGGATGACATTCTGTTTTGAGAATTCAAGTCGGTATTTAACACCTGACGCACACGCATGCATTATTCTTTTCTCATTTTCTCCTTCATTTGGGTATGCTGACTCCTATGTATTTATAGACAACTTCTCGTCCAGTTCCCTAATCTTTGTGACAAAATCTTTTAACTCTGCACTATGTAACCACTCATGGGTATGGGGTTTGTCTACATCAGATTATTTGATACAGAGTGTTGACCAAGAAGAGGTTTACCTTACCATCTTTCCCGCATTTGCTACATCGCAATTGCTTTTGCTTCCGTTTTTAACTTCTTTGCCGCTGCAGTAGGTGTGTTTATTTGTAAGTTTTCATCCAATTGAAATTCCCTTTTGAATTTGTTGGCTTCCTTTATTACTAAATAAAGTTCTTTCGTGTTCTTTGACACAGATCATCATCTAGTCTTCTGTATTTTATAGATATCTTTGAAGACCAATTGTTGTGGTTTTGTAAGACAGTTCTAGTTGAACTAATCCTCTGCCTCCTTCGGATCTGGGCACATACAGACGATCAACATAAGCCTTA